AGTAGAGCAGTTGCCCTAGTAGCTCCATTTCCCTAGTAGCGCCATTTTCATATTATCGCGTTTCCCTAGTAGCGTGTGATTCCCTAGTTGAGCCATTTCCCTAGTACTGTGTTGCCGTAGTAGCGAGCATTTCCGTAGTAGTGCGCTCTTACCTAGTAGCGTGTTTCCCGAGTAGCACGCGTTGCCCTATTAGAGCATGTTTCCATATGTCGCGGATGAAAGTATTGACACGGTAAAGATTTAGGAAAATAATATAGATTTATTAATAACTAACAACTATATGTCAATACAAAATAATTCAGACAGAAATGCTACTTATTCAGGTACTAAAATGACAAGATTCACTCTAACTTACTTATCGGTACCTTAATTTATACACGTACGAACATGCGCATACACAAACCAGACAGACATATAGAGGAACAAAGGGGTTTGGATTCGGTGAAATGAACACAAAAGGGACAAGCACACAGGAACACGGGTAAGGGTACGTACCCACACCCCCCCACCAATAACCAGGTGAAATAGAAGCGACCTCAAAGAAAATTTCCCTCTCGAGTTTAGAGCAAATACTCCCAATGCCTTGGCATTCCTCATCGGGCGATAATTGAGACTCGAGCGGGGGGACTTCGCCCTGGCCTTCCATCTGGAGCAGACGACACCTTAAGGGTTTTGGTACCTGAGAGGCGTCCCAGCTCAGAGGGGGTTGCAGGTCACAGGCCTGCTGCCATCCAGGAGAGCTCAAAGGGTCTCTCTGGTGGTCGCAGTTTATAGGGTCCAAGATAATTGCGTTTTGACAAATGCTATCTCGTGCCTTCGGGCAGTTGCACAAGAGTTTGAATAACATGGAACCCTGTTACTGTTCCATCTGATCCCATCCCAGGCACAGGTGTGTCAGGCCATGAGGAGATGACGGGCCAGTATAACCTTTTCCAAACAAATGGGAGGGGCAGGAGCCAGGCTCCTCAAGGTTATCAGTCCTTATCTCCACAGATTGGTGTGTGGCCTGGGGGAATGTGGATGGAAACACACCTGGCACCAAGGATCCCAATAAGGAGGGCAGGGAGCGGTAAGAATTGCACCACCACAACACGCTACGAGAGAAATGCACACTACTAGGAAAATGCCCTACTAGGGAAACACGCTACAAGGGAAACGCGCTACGAGGGAAACGGGTTTACTAGGGAAACATGCACTACTAGGGAAACCCACTATGTGGGAAACTCACTAGTAGGGAAATGCGCTACAAGGGAAAGAGCGTTACTAGGGAAACGGAGCTACTGGGGAAACACGCTCTACTAGGAAACACGAGCCACAGGGTTAATGTGCGATACTGGGGAAACGCTCTACTAGGGAATCACGCTACTAGGGAAACGGTGGTACTAGGAAAACGCGCTACTAGGGAAAATCGCTACTAGGGAAATGCACCATACTTAGGCAATGGTGCTAATAGGGAAGCACGCTACTAGGGATACGTGCTACTAGGGAAACGCGGGCTGCTACGGAAACGTGCTCTAATAGGGCAAGGCTTGCTACTAGGGTAATGTGCTATTAGGGCAACACACTACAAGACCAAGGTGCGCTACTAGGGAAACGACTTTGAAATGGGGTTTGTGTCCTAAATATGAGGGATTAGGATTTTCACACATAAGTGTGCTTTTTGACCTTGAAATGGGTTTTGTGCCCTAAATGTGAGGACGTCCTGGACATAAAAAATAAGATTCCCTAGTAGCGAGTATCCCTAGTAGCGCAGGGTCCTAGTACTGCGCATTTCCCTGGCAGCGTGCGGTTCCCAGGTAGTGCGTTTCCTTAGTAGAGCGCATTGCCCTGGTAGCCCATTCCCGTAGGAGCATGTACTCTAAGTCCCCGTTCTTACAGTCCCAAATCTCATTTTTATAGTCCAAGCATTCATTTTTTCACAAAGAATCCCTCAAATTTAGGCACAAAATCCCTCACATTTAGGGCAAAATATCCATTTCAAGTTCGTTGCCTTAGTAGTGTGTGTTGATCTTCAGTGTGTGGCCCTAGTAGCATGGTGATGTAGTAGTCCGCATTGCCCTAGTAGTGTCTTGTCGTAGTAGCACGTTGCCCTAGTAGGGAATTAAGCTAGTGGCTCGCGTTTCCTTAGTAGCGCCATTTCCCTAGTAACACATTTTGCTAGTATGGCAGTTGCACTAGTAGCACGTTTCTCTAGTAGCACATTTCCCTACTAGTACATGTTGCCCTAATAGTGCATGTTGCCCTAATAGCGTGCATTGCAGGAGTAGCGTGTTTCCTAGTAGAGTATGTTTCCCTCGTAGCGTGTTTCCTTAGTAGCGCATTTCTATAGTAGCACATGTTTCCATAGTAGTGCATTTCTCTAGTAGCATGCTTCCCTAGTATCACCTTTCCCTAGTAGTGCGCCTTCTCCCCGTAGTGGGCTTCCCTAGTAACACGTTTCCCTAGTAGCACATCAGTTGCTCTAGTAGCTCCATTTCCCTAGTAGCGTGTTTTTCTAGTAGTGCCATTTTCATATCACGTTTAACTATTAGCACATGGGCCTAGTAACATGCATTTTCCTAGTAGCGTGCAATTCCATGGGAGTGAGTTTCCCTAATAGCACGTGTTTCCCTAGTAGAGCGTATTTCATAGTATCGCGTTTCCCTATTGCATGTGATGCCCTGGTAGCGCGTTGCCCCAGTAGCATGCGTTTGTCTTGTAGCTCGTTTAACGAATAGAGCATATTTCCTAGTAGCGCATTTCCCTAGTAGCGCCGTATTCCCAGTAGCGAGTTTACCTAGTATCACATCTCCTTAGTAATGCGTGTTTCCCTGGTAGCGATGTTTCTCTAGTAACGCGTTTCCCTGGTAGTGTGCATCTCTAGTAGTGCATTTCCCTATTAGTGTACAT